TTTTGTACTGCAAACTCTTTCTGACTAGTTCCTTTAAGAAGGTCTCTTCTGTTCCTTTCTACAATTCTTCCATCTGTTCTTATAATCCTATATGAACGTGGTCTTTCTGCTTCTTCTATAATTTTCTCTCTTTCATTTAGTTTTCTCCCTTTCTCTTTTATGTAAACATGATCTCCTGTTTTCAGTGGTTTTAACAGTCTTGCATTCCTATCATAATAACTTTTTTGTAAGGTTTGTCTCTTCAGTAAATGTTGTTTATGGTCTTCATATTGTTTAGCTTGGACAAAATTCTCTTTTATAGGCATCAATCGATTTACTTTTCTTCCAAACATCAATTCTGAAGGTGACTTAATTTCATCTGAAATAGGAGAGTTACGATATTCCAGTAATACTAAATATGGATCCTTGTTGTCAACTACAGCTTTTTCTAACATTCGCTTGACAGTTTGAATATGTCTTTCAACCATTCCATTAGATGGTGGGTAATTTGGACTTGGAAGTTCTGGTTTCAAAATTCCATCTTCTTGCAAAATCTTTAAATTTTCTGCAATTATATTGTGGACCATTATCCGAATATATTATTTTCGGAATACCATGTCTTGCAAAAATTGATTTCAATTGCTTTATCACTGCTACACTTGACAAATCTTCCAAATGTCCAATTTCAACATATTTGCTAAAATAATCTATTACTATTAGATAATCCCTTCCTTGAAAGTAAAAGAGATCTGTTCCCAATACTTCCCATGGACCATTAGGTATTTCTTGAGATATCATTGGTTCTTTAGTATTAGCTTTTTGTAAACTTAAACATGTTTGACAATTCAGTACCAAATCTTCAATTTCTTTCAACATTCCTGGCCAATATAATATTTCTCTTGCTTTGATCTTGCATTTTACTACTCCTAAATAACCATAATGAATTCTGTTTAACATATCTTTTCGTAAACTTCTTGGTACAACAACACAGGAATTTTTAAATATTAATCCATTTGCTTCTGATAGTTCTTCTCTGAAGTTAAAATATGGTTTTGCCAGTTCTGGAACCATACATTTTTTATCTGGCCATTTTAATTAATTTTTTTAAAACTTGTAGTTCTTCATCTTTTTCTGTTTCCAGTTGAAAAACTTCCATTTTACCATTAGACATTGGTATACATTCTACAACCAAACGAACATGAGCTTCTATGTCTCCTTCAAAGAAATCAGATCCTTCATCAGTCAATGATCTTGATAATGCATCCGCTATAAAAAGTTCTTTTCCTGGTTTATATTTTATCTCAAACTGATATGGCTGTAATCTTATACGCATTCTTTGTAGTCTTACAGGGCATTTATTTAATGGCTTTTTGAAAATTGATTCCAGTGGTTTATGGTCACTTTCCACAGTAATATATTTTCCAAATATATACTAGTGAAATTTCTCGCACACAAATACAATAGCTAAAATTTCCTTTTCAATTTGAGCATAATTTTTCTGTGTATCTGTTAATGCCTTAGATGCATATGCTACTGGTAAATTATTCTGAAGTAAGTAAGACTGCTCCTAGTCCTTCTTGAGATGCATCTACAGATAAAACTACTGGCATTTTTATATCATAATACTGTAAAACTGATATATTTACTGAAACATCTTTTGGTCTTCTAAATGCTTTTTCGTGTGTTGCATTTCAGTTCCAGATAACTTGTTTTTTCAACAAATCTCTTAAACATGATGTCAATTCTGTTACATTAGGTATAAATCTAGAAACATATGTAATCATTCCTAGGAAAGTTTCTAATTCTTTCACAGTTTTTGGTGGTTTTATATCTAGAATAGCCTTAATTTTGTCTTCATCTGGTTTTAAACCATCTTTAGAAAATATATGTTCCATATATTTCACTTCATTCAGCCCAAATTTACATGTATTTAAATTAAATTTAACATTCTTTTCTCCGGCTCTGTCCAACAACTTCTTTAATTTTAAATTATGTTCTTTTTTATCTTTACCCCAAACTAATAAGTCATCTATATATATTTGAACTTCTTCTAAATCACTAAAAATTTCAGAAAAACTTCTGTGGAAAACTTCTGGTGATGAATTCAGTCCATATGGCAACCTCAAAAAACAATATCTACCAAACGGAGTGTGAAATGTAGTAAATTCACAACTTGAATCTGACAGTTTAATTTGCCAAAATGCTTTGCTTGCATCTAAAATACTAAAGACCTTAGCATTTGTCATTTGAGATGAAATTTCTTCAAAGGTTTGTATGTGATAATGTTCTCTCAGTATATTTTGGTTAAGGATCTAAACACACTCTTAAATTACCATCCTTTTTACTTACTACCACTAATGAATTCACGAATTCTGTTGGTTGGTTAACTTTCTTTATAAAACCATCTTTTTCCATTCTTGCTAATTCCTTTTTTAATGGATTTAATAAGCTAAGTGGAATTTTCCTACAGGGTTCTATTTTACCGACAGCTCCTGGTTTTAATTTAATATGATATGTATATCCAGTTAAATTCCCAGTTCCTTTAAACAAATCTTGATATCCTTTTAAAAATTCTGGTAACTTTTCATTGGAATCAGGACTTGCTGTACAAATTCTTTGTATTAGGTTTAATTTTTGCAATGTAGGTAAACCTAAAATAGCTGGAACAGTTTTATCACATGCTACGACTTGAAATTCTACTTCATCCTTGTCCCCTTTCGACGTTTCACATAATAATTTACATTTTCCGACTACATCAATTGTAGTACCATTATAATTATTTAAAGTGACTTTTGATTTAGTAAAACATTTATCTCTTAAATTTAATTGTTTAAATTTAGGCAATGCTAGCACATTACACTGAGCTCCAGTATTCAACTTTACAAATAAATATTTAGATATGTTTAGTTTTTCAAACCATTCGGTTTTATTTTTAGAAAATGGATTTGTATCTTCTACTGACCCTAAAATATATTCATTACCATTATTATGTAACTCATGCTCTAAATTATTCTGTACAACATTAACATTTGTATAAGTGCACATTTTAGAAAAGTGATTTTTCTTTTTACAGTACAAGCAAATCTTATTATAAGCAGGACAGTTGTATAACTTATGAAAAGTTCCACATTTTCTACATGGTTTTGGATTATTGTACTTATTTCCTTGATAGTTTGAAGAAGAATTAGTACTTTGTTGCTTTTGTTTCACATGATAGTTTTTCTTAAAAGGCTGACTTTTCCCTCTGAAGTTCGAAATTTATTACGTTTGATTGCTTCTATTTTATTTTCTTCAGTTAAAGTTTTCAGCTGAAGTTCTGCTAATTCAGAAGCTTTACACATTTTAATACATTTCTCCAATGTTAACTGATCTTCCTTTAATAATCTATCTTTGAGATTTTTATTTAGAATTCCACTTACTATTCTATCCCTTATTAAACTATCTTTTAATTCTGCAAATCCACAGTTGCTACTTAATTTCTTTAAATCAGTTAAAAAATCATCAAACGATTCACCTACATGTTGTGTTCGACTGAAAAATATATGTCTATCAACACTTTCATTTGCTTTCGGTATTTAAAAATTTTCGAAAGCTTCAATTACTTTGTCAACATCCTTCTTATCTTCTTCACTTAAATTAAAAGTATTAAACTTTTCAAGTGCTTCTTCACCAATAATGTGCAATAAAATAGCTACTTTAATTTCAGGTGATTTAGTAATACCACCAGACGCTAACATATAAATTTGGAATTTTTGTTTCCATTTCTTCCAATTTTCGCTTAAATTACCTTCAAAATTTAGATTACTTGGTGGCTTTAATCCATCGATATTTAATTTAGGACTTTAAAAGTTTATATATACGTATTTTTAGCCACTTCCAATAAAAATAAACAACGCACTTACCAGCGATGTGAGTTTCGATTTCACAGTAAACAACTTACCATCATGTTTTTATTTAGAATATCTTTACCACACTGCATGGTTCTTCAAAAAGGATTTTCTTTTTTAATCAAGGACTCGGCTGTGCCATGTGTTGTATTTTATATATATTGGGTATGTGCTCAGTGATGATTACAAGATGTACACAAACATTGTTTATTCTACATTGCTCATCTACTATTCTGTATTACAGTTATGATTAAAGATAATAATAGATACATATATAACATCCCCCACTCCTCTTTTTCCAGTTACTACCTGGAATATTCGGTAATTTCCGAGTATGCGGGTTAATTAAGCTTTTACAGTTAAAGGATGACTGTATGAAGAAATTTCTCATCTTCTGATTTCAGAAAATGTGCCTCTTTTTTACTTAAATTACTTTGCTTGGAATATATGTTAAGGGAAAACTGTTATGCAATGAAAATTTAGAAAATGTTCAGAATTTTGATTTAAGTTAAATTATGTAAATATTAATATGAGTGGGAAAATAAATTGTATTTATTATTAGGTGCCAAACGAATACAATTAATAGGGCTTATTATTATTTATTGTCTATATTTTGAACTGAAATTTCATCATTAAATCTTGTAATATAGTTTAGTTCTGCATAGTTTTTTTTTTTTTTTCTCGTAAACTAATTCTGTAAATTAAACTGTCATTTAAAATTTAAAAAAAAAAGTTAATTGTTTTCCATGGTTGAGGTAATGGTCATTCTCTTAATAAATATTGCATTGTTCATATTTTAAGTTACAAGTTTTTAAGGTTATGCAGTTGTGTATAATGTAATTAGACAGGTGCTTATTTTTTCCTTAAAATGTGCTTAAAGGTGCTTATTTTTTTAACTAAAATGTGGCTACGAACCCTGTGTTTGTGAATCCTTTCTGGTCTCTGTCAATGTCTATGTTCTTAAAATACTATGCTATAACGTAGCATTTTTAATTGAAATTACTGGAAATTCATGAAGCAGGTTTTTCATCAGCAGTGATAAAAGGTTTATTGTAACCTGCATAATGTGAATATTTAATGAAAGTGTAACAGAATTACAGATTATCTATAATTATTACTTTTCATCTTCTCTAGCAAACAGAACTGAAGACATCAACTGTCACCACATTTTCAAGTTTTGACCAATTAAGATCAAATTTTTCGCCCAGTAGACCAACTTCATTGTATCGCACGACAACTCCTCTAAAGAAAGTATCTACTATATGTGAAGATATCAGAAATGCTTATGAATTAAAGACTAAACCAAGACCACCTCCACCCATCCCTTCCTTGAAGCCATTGTCTTTTATAACTTCTCCTTCGACTTCGTGTAAGTGTGATTTTTTTATATTGATTTTTTTTTTGGGCAGGAGGCAGCATAAAGTAATTTTGTTATTACAATTTTGTGCAAGTTAGACCTGAACAGAAATTAAATATTAACAGTATGGCAGATTAAAAATACATTACGAAGTCTAAAATCCTGACATCCCTAATCTGGAATGATCTAAAATCTGGACCTCAAAACCACCAACAATGTTTTCTCATAGGCTTTATGCATGTGCATTTTATTCCCCCCTCCGTGCATAATAAAACATCTGGAGCGTCCCAATTCTTAATTTCACTTCGACACTAAATAAAATACCTTGTTATTGAAGAAACAATAATTTTAGCATAAATTTCTCCGATCAGTAATTTGGCTTCCTAGATACTTTGGCACACATCTCAAACCGAAATATTCCACATAGATACATCATTGATCTGATGCCAACGTGGCAAATAATTATTAATTATATTTTTCTTTCATCACTGCATGTTTATCAAAACATGACAACTTGAGTAATGACTCATGTAGCAATGCCTAAACAATTTTTTGTGTTAGTAATTGAATAATAAAGGAGTATGGTAACCTTTTATGTTACCATTAGGCTTAGGGAAGATTACAGATTCAAGTTAAATGCACTAAAAAGTTCTGTCCATATGATAAAAATAGATTTTGTTGATGATACTCATAGACCCATAGATTACATTTAGGACTATTTGAATTAAGAATAACTTATTTGTTAGTCATGTAAACCCAGAAGCAGCGCCAGGGCTCGTATGGCCGCACCGAGTCGCAGAATTTAGGACCCACAGAGACTGCATCATGCGATATCTAGTGCCGGCCCTCAATAAGGCTTTTGTATATGTGGGAATTTATTTATTCAGAACTCTGATAAGCCTTAAGCATGTGCAATAAATAGACATAAGTATAATAAATAACTAAACTAATACCATTCGGGCTTAATTGTCTCAGTGCGTGATAGAAGCAAAATAAAATTTAACGGTACAACTTACCATTAGTCGTCAAGCTCATGATGCATAGCCAAATATGTACAATGAAGGATAGCTAAATTTGATGATGATAGCAGTTAATTTTAAAGGTTTCCATATATTGCAAAACAAAGGTGAAATTTTCCAATTAACGGATTTTGTAAAGAAATGTGGAGAAGCGGTAATAAATGAAGATGATATAAAAGATGTTTTTCATTGTGATGACAATGCTTTTCAATCATCAATCAGTTAATGAATGGTGAAATCTGTAGTATGGTTCTAGACCAGAAAATACCGCTATCGATAGTGAAGAAAGTGATGGAGAAGTTACTGAAAACGAGAAAATTTCGATTGGCAAGTTAGTCAGAATTCTCAAAACAGCAGGTACAGGACTTCAACAATGTAGCTAAACAAGGGATTATGTCTGTCTACAGAAATAAAGAGAAAGTATTAGCAAAAAACAAAGCAACTTAAACAACTTATACTGAAAGAAATGTTCAATAAGGTAAATAAATAAATATCAAGCTTTTTTTTTTTTTTTTTTTTTTTTTTTTTTTTTGTAAATTTTGATACTCTTTAGATCATAAGTACTTCATTATTTCATAAATCATGATTTCATATTTTTAATTTTGTTATTTCTACATGCCATCATACTAGATTTAAACTGATGATCTAATATCCGGAAAAATCCCAAATCCGGAAACGCTGAAGTCGCGACGAGTCCGGATTTCGGACTTTGTACTATATCTACATATTTATTTTGCAGACTTTTAATGCTAAATTAAATACTTGGTTTTTCTGTATTTTAAATGTGATATAGCAGCATTTCTCAAACTTTTCTGAAGTGAGGACCACTTTTATGAATTAGCATCTGTTGACCATCTTCAAAGGCAACTTTTTAGCATATCTTAACACCATTTGTACTTTTCTTTTTAAATACAGTTAATTAGAATTCATTAAATTTTTTATTAGTGTAAAGTATTTAAGCTTAAGAAATTTTTATTCTTTTTTAATCATTGAAAGTTGTTAGACTTTAGATAATCTTTATCTTATCAGCTAAAAATTGAAAATAAATTTTGCTACTTACAGTAATGAGATGAAGGCGCTTACCTGTTCTTCCATAACGTTTCTTATTTTGATATATGCTTGTGAGAAGCACCAGTGTCATAGTGCTTTAAATCCCTCTTTTATTGCTAAAGCTGGAGTGGGAAGTCCATAGATAAAATAACTCGCAATAAATTTTTTAAAAATATCAGTCTCTCTAGAAAAAGTGATAAATTCTTGTCTTGTATAATTTCCAAACTCTAAGATTTTCAGCTATAGTATGGTATGCACAGTTACTTTTAATTTTATCTTTGGTCTGGGGAAATCTAGGAAGACCACAAAAGAAGGCTTCAAGTACTGCTTGTGGTCTGTATGCCACAGTTTAAGAAATGCTGTGTTCTAGCATTAGTATATAATGTAATGTATTATGCTAGTAATAAGTTTTCTTTAGTTTTCCCATCAAAACACTTACTTTCTTGTTTATGTTATGTAATAGCATGTATTTCTTATTTTTATGATGTAATGTATATGAAATTATTTATTGTACATATAAAACAAATCTCCATCAAAATCTATTTTTCTCTTAGCACAAATTTCATGAATTTTCTCTGCCACTTTGTTTGATTGCATTGGTTCATTGCTTTTGATATTCACATCTGAAAAAGAGGAAATGCCATTTGGAGAGACTTGATTGCCTGTTATTAATAGTTTATCTGGAGATCATCTTCCATATTAATTTATAAAATAGTTCCAAATCAAACTGCCTTTGTAAGTTAAGAAAGAATTTGTTACATTAATAACTCACAACTGCTATATATGTAATAAAAATTCTGTTCTATAAATTTGACATAGAACATGATAATTTAGCTGGTGCTTAAAATAGCAGCATTCATGGCTATATTTTGGTCTAAACATTCTTGCATATAAAATACATAGTGCAATAGGCACAAAATCATCAGCCATTCTTCAGTAATAACCTTGATACTATTCACATTTTTGTAATATATTTGAAGAAAGAAAGTTGTGGATGACAGGCCAGCGGGACAGAGAAACTGGGAAGAGATGCATAAATTACAATATGAACATTAGTGAAGTTAGTGTTCCACCTTATTTCTGTTGGTTATTTAAGGTTTTGCTTTGCAAAATTTATCTTTATTATTTGGTAGGATTTTTATTATACAGCACAAAGTAATAAATCTAGACATCTAGTATCCAGAATGGTCTGATATCTGGGCCACTAGCCAAAGCTGTTCCTAGCGGGATGCTGCGCATAAAAGTACGAAAATCAGGGTTGGCAGGACTCTCCCGATACCACGCCTAAATATTTTAAATTCATTGTAAGTACTTGTCATATGTAAGCACTTTTTATACAATTTGTCATATGTAAGTACATTTTGTACAGTTTGTCATATATACGTACTTAGTGAGTAGCAGTAAAAATTTTATTTATCCCACTGAGCATTTTTTTTAACTTGGGGGCAGCAATCTTAGGAAAGTATGTGGGCAGCCAGTGGCCTAGGAGCGGTCCCGCCACTAGCCAAAACAATAATTAAACAAATAAATAAAATAATGAAAAACGTACAAGATCTAGAAATAGAGAATATAATATGCAAGAAAAATAAGCTTGTATCAGTAAATGTGGTTTTTCTGCTGACATATTCCTGCATGTCAATTTCAAACACCTGCTGACTAAGCAGTCGCACCATAGCCAATAACAACACATTGATTGGCATTGTGTTGATGTTGTCCAGGCTTACAATTTTGGCTTTTGAGGGGGCTCTTGAGACTTAAAGTAGCTTTGTTATTTGAATGCACTTTCCCTCTCCTTTGTTTATCTATTGATACCCGCAGTTGCAGTCTCATCCTGAGGAGAAACTGCACAAAGATCCCCAAAAGTAAAGTAATCACTTTATTGTTAACACAGTAGCTTTCTACTTGGCATGGGAGAAAGGAGTCCATTGCAACAAAAATTCATATATACAGACGTTTCAGATGTTTGAGAGAAACAGATTTTTGGCTCTATTCTGTGTGAAATAGTTATTCGATGATGGTCTAAAATCCAGAAAAATCAAGACTTTCACTCCATTTTTACTGCTTTCGTTGATATTAACTAAAGTTTGAAATGAACTATTTTTGTACTACTTGTTATATAAGAATCATAACAAGGGTACATCATGGCAGGGGTTAATTCTGAAATCATGCAAGTCAGAGAAATTTATTATAATTGTGTTACTGTTCTTATGATAGAAATTGGAAACGAGCAAATTTTAGTCTTTAAAGGGCCATAACAAATTATAATTTTTCATAGTCTTTATCTAACTTATGTGTTTTGAAGTACAATAAGAAAGATTACAAAATAAAAAAAAAGTTTAACAGTTTTTTGACATGCATGAAGCTGCAGTAGTTGTGTATATGTAGTAGCAATTCCTGCTCACTTAACAAGCTTGCATTTACATTTGTATACCATACACATGCGATAGAATTTTGAGTCTATGCTGATGAGGATGATAGCTGGATGGTTACAATGAAGATACAGTCATGGCCAGTTGAACACACAATTATTCTTGAGCTGCATAGTTAAATTGGTGCATTTGATCCTCTGTAATTACATGCATGTTTTTAATATATTTATAACAGTGCAGTTGGCATAAGAAAGAGAAGTAACAATCTAAGAAGCAAAAATGCTTATACAGTCAAAAGTCGTTAATCTGGACTCGTCGGGACTTCCGGCGATTCCGGATTATCGATTTTTCCAGATTATAGATCATCAGTTTAAATCTGGTAAGATGGCATGCAGAAATTATAAAATTAAAAATATAAAACTGTAATTTATGAAATAAAGAACAATTATGATCTAAAGGGTATCAAAAATTACCAAAAAAAGCTTAATATTAATTTATTAAACATTTCTTTCAATGTAAGTTGTTTAAGTTTCTTCGTTTTATGTGATAATACTTTCTCTTTAATTCTATAAAC